GGTCGTTCCCCTCGTCCGAATGCGGCACGTCCTTCATCGTGTTGCCGTATCGTCTCCACGTTGTGTCTTCACCGCCGTGGGTGTCTCTCTCTCCGCGGTCCTCTTTCTCTCACTCTTACTGGTGTCCTTCACGACCGCCACGCCGTTTTACGGTGTGTCGGTCGTCCTACTGACGGGTCGTTCCTCCAGATGAACGTTATTAACACCCTTTTCACCTGTGACCCTTTCCCACACGTTCTCGTTCGTCCACTCTCTTCACTGACTCCCACTCCCTAGTATTCTACCTGTCATAATAGTAGACCCGAGTCAATTATCGTACGGAGTGTTACTATTACACTTACCTGTCAGTGTAATCTCTAACCGTCGAGTGGACATCTTAAATTTTATCTATGAACCTCGGCTAACATCATAGTATTCGCTTTGACACATCGTTTTGTGACCTGGGTTTTTTCCCAAGATGTCTCCGGTTGCTTTCTTCCGCGACTCACCAGGCGCGCAACTAACTTTGACAAATCCCGTCAAATATTGAGTCTGGTCGATGTTCCCTTTTTTGTATGTGTACATCCCGAGATACAGTAATCTCCCCGTCTCACACTTTATTGGATCGAGTCGTCCGGTCATCTACATCGATACCCCAATCATTTCGCGCACCCGCTCCGTTGTGGTCACTTGTCCTCAAACCCGGATGACTTTTGTGTCTCGGACACTTCTATCCGAGATTTCCTGTTATGGGTCGGAGATACGTCATACCGTGTCGTGCGGCCCAGGGGGTATATGGCGAAGGACCCACGTCACTTCTCCTTCAACCTCTCCTACCTTCCGGTTGCTGTAGTAACTTCCGCCACTGACTGGGCTGGTCTCACCAGCGGTGGGTACCCACGGTCAGGTCTTTTTCAGACTTTTCGTGCCGTAGACACACCTGAGTAATTTCTTCGAATTATTCCGACAGTTTTCCCTCTTCTAAGTACGAACGGCTTTAGTCTCCCTACTACGAGTCGGGAGGTCTGCCGAGGTGTCAGGGAAGAGTAGTGAACTGCTGTCGCAGTTCCAAGCCGTCTAGCGGTTGGTACCTGTTTCTTGTTCGGCTCACTGAGTGGAAGTAGTGCGCAGTGCGCTTCGCATGACAAATTTGCAGAAGGGAAACCCTATTCGTCGGCGTGGACTCTATAAAGTATCTTCTACCACCTCTGCGACCTTCCCGAACCTAGCCGCAACGGCAGATGTACCTGCTCGTAGTAGTAGGTACCGTCGTTGTGGTTCGCTTGTCTACTCGCCGACGTCTTCAAGACCTAGCCCGACTTCAGACGTCCGGACTTCGACTTGTTTACTCTTCACACACGACTCTTTCCTCTCTCGACCGTGAGGACCCAGTCTCACTAGTTGTCTACCACATGTCTGCGGCTGGGGTCGGTTTCACAGACGTCTAGTCGTTTGACTTGGTGGGTCTTTGCACGTCCTTTGATTTCTCTCGTGAGGGCCGTACTAGTTAGATTTGGACCCCTTTAATAGCGTCTGGAACGTCTCACCCGCGTCGGTTCGATATACCGTGGACAATTTTCGTCTTGAGGGTCACCCTTACACCCCAGGGGCCGCGTTGTTCGTCGGAAACTTCGCTCAATTGTTCTCGAGAGTGTTGCAGGTGCGATGGGACCCACCATGATACTACAATTGTCCTCGTGTCACCAAGACGTCATTCTGGGTTCGTCAATACCCTTATCCGGACACAGGACGCGTCCGAGGTACCGCTTCTTTGACCGCTGGCCAATCGTATGACGAGTTCGGGCTTTGACTCGCTGCCGGCCTTTGGTCCATGCGAGGTCTATCTCTTCCTCACGGACCGCTCGGCACACCCCGCACACTCTCCAAAGTCTACATAGAGATGCCGGATGGTCGTAAGGTTTGACTAATGCCTAGTGTTGGGGGAGTAGGGTCGACTACTTGAGCGTCCCTACGAGCTGTTTACACGGGTGAGGCGACGGTCGCTAGGGAGTACGCCAACTACTCCAAGTTAGGGTCTCCCGATTCATAGCGCCGGCCCTTTTCGGGACCACCACCCGTCTGTGACAGGTCCTCGGGGTCCTTCTCGTTCCCCGACGTCATCTTCTGTGTCTGCACTCACAATGCATCGTCGACACTACTCGTCGTAAGGTTCGTAGCGGCTTTTTCTATCTGCGTAGGGCGCCGCCTCTGCCGTCCGCCTCTCGGTCGAGGTCTTCCCTGAGATCCATGTATGTTCTCCCCACCGGGACTTGTGGATTTCGTGTGTAATTTGTGACACAATCCCGTCAGAAGGGCAATCCTTGCTATGACAGATACGTACTACCCATCAGCTGGTTCTCCCTCATCTTATCACTATCAGGTCCCTCTAACTCAGTCTCTATGATCTTGCGTATGTACTTCCCGCGGGTAGTTCCAGAAATTGTTGCACCGTCTCTGTCCCGGTTGTGAGGCCACACCACCGCGACCGTATTCGTGTGTCTAGTGGTGGTTCAGCTCTTGACGTACATGACAGCATCGCGTCTCCTCTCGTGTCTTCGTCTCGGAGGGGGGACAGTTCGGTGGAGGTAGGGGGTCTGTCCGGCACCTTCTCCTTAACCGTACTAAATACACTGTACTCTCTCCTCTCAATGGATCAGTATCGACTGGATCGATGAGATCTATGGCCTCTCATGAGGTGTACGGATTGGTGCTGATCAACGTGCTACACTAGGAACTTTCGAACTCTCGGTCGCAACGGGCCGTGCCTTATGGCCTCCTCCAACAGTCACTGTTGCCTGCGCGTCAAGTGTGACTACAGAGTTGGTCATCCGGGAAACCGGACACTGTACCTGAAATTCCGTCGTGTTGGGAAATCAGGGGTGTTGGGGTGGGTTCTTTGCCAATACGACTTCGCACGTCAGTTTGCCGTTTCCCTTAAGACTCTGTTTTCCTGGCGGGATCGATACGAAATTACCAATGGGTAAGGAAGAGGGTGTTGTTCGTCATGCCCTAAGTCAGGCCGGTCTCCCAGTGATTACCCCCGTCCTCTTTCGAATTCCTGCTGCGACGGGTGAGAACGGTTCTGGACGTTGGTTCCACGGCTCCGCTCTTGTTAGTGTAGGTCCCCGAGCTCTACCGACCGCCTTCTTCTCGTTTGTCGGAAGATCGATATTGTTCGCGGTTACCTCACTCTCTCGAATCGTGGTGACCCGTCGCTCCTCTGATACAAGGGTGGTCCTGACCTGTAAGTTTTCTGGACCAGGTGTGGACTAATCACGTCCACTCTCACAATGTAGTCTCCAGAATAGAGTGCTCTGCCTCGTCCACGGTCATGTCTGCATTGGCAGGCTGTGAGAGGTTCGCCACGGGGCATCGCCCGAGTCGCTTGGCTGGCTGTGGTGTTGGCGGTCCTTATTGTGTTGGGTCTGTAACGTCATAACTCGGGTCTTGTACCGACGCGGACCCAGGTTGTCTTCGTGACTACCTGGACTAGGTGTCCTAGACCATCTGGACTAATTTGGACAGGGTTCTCTGAACTGGGATACTCCCCTCGTCAAGTTATTATTTTTTTTTTTCCCCAACTATAACTTTTTTTTCTCCCTTTTTCCCCCCCCTATACAGTATCAATAACTACACAACTATAACAATTTCTTTTATATTCAATAACTATACACAACTAACAATTTCTTTTCATTAGATGTCATAACTAACACAACTATAACAATTTTCCTTTTTCCCCTCCTACAGTATTCATAACAATTGACTGATGTTCCCTCAATCAGGGTATATGCAATGCCGTACAATGCTGTCATGTCTTCCCCTCACCGGGCGCTCTCCATCAGCTGCCCAAGCCTACTACTTGGTCGCCCTCCTTCCCGTTATTTGCGCACGGACAATTTATTGGTTGACAAGGCAACAGACAATTATAGGTTCCTATAATCGTCATCTCCAAAGAGTATGGAGTTTAAAGGGGAGGAGCCTGAGGAAAGGGAGGGGCTGAGGATAGCGAGTCTGAATCGGAGGGTAGGGGTTATGGGAGGAGCTTGAGGAGGAGAAGGCCTTTTACCTCCTCTGATTGACGCGCCTCTTGTACCGTCATCTCCAGAATGAGGTTAGGGATCAGCTGTAGCGTGAGGCGGGAGAGTAGAACTATGAGCCGGTCTAAAGAGCCCGGACTGCTCGTGTATAGTTAATAGATAAATAAATAAATAAGTTAAAAGAGATACATAATTGATTTGGTTAATGTGACAATGTTCGGTAGACATGATTGGCTGACTGTGTATCGGAGCAACAAATTGATATTGAATGTACAAGATGAAACTGGTCTGGAATAGCAATGCAATAGACATGATTATTGTTTGGATGTTGATGCAGATGTTCATTATGTTTCTGTGTTAGTATAGTGAATACGTTCAGAGAACGTACACACACACTTGAGTGAAGTCTCAGTGTGTGTGTGTGTGTGGGGGTGTGTGTGTGTGTGGCGAACTGTGATAATAAGATACATATCTTTGCTCTTTGCAGAACAAAATAAAAGACTTTCAAATTAAATGTGTAGTGGAGGGCTACTTCACTCTGTACCACGCTACGCTAACATTGATTTTTGCTCCTCCAGTGAATCCTATTTCAGGTATGAACCACAATTCCAAATCCTAATGCATTTTTCATGTTTGTTGCCAGATTAATACAAATGAATAAAACCCCTAATATTGAACATGCAAAATGTCAGAGAGCTTCTTCTTCAATTAAGAAATGTTGTTTTCTCGCATGCCTCTACGGTGCACACAACAAAAACAAACCTAATGTTGGAAACATGTTGTGTTGGCCTGCTAGTGGTTCTGGATGAAAGGTTAAAGGCAAGCCAAGCAACAGGCCTTATACCCAGACGACAGTCTGCACAGAATTTCACGTGACAGCTTCAGTTAGTTTACGGATTTGACTTGCTCTTCCTGCCCATTAAAAACAATATATTTCCAAAACTTGAACTACAACTTTTACATTTTCAGATTCATGGTTTTACTGAGAACCGGAATAAATAATGAGATTGAATGTCATGGTGCAATGTATCACACAACACAGAGTGTTTCAGGTTTAACGTTTTAATAACAGATCTCCATATACAAACTGGATACAGTGAAGCCATTCTGCTGTATAACTTCCACCAGAACAGCCCCGTAAAGTGTGTGATAGTGTGTGTGTGTGATATCTGTATGGTGATAATAGAGAATGTATATTTTACACATGCACACACACACAGAAATAAATTACAAAAACTCAAATAAAGTGTCTTGTTTCAGCCTGGAATGTCACAAAAAATGTAACACAGGGATTTTCTGTTCCTTTGAACTGAATGATGGTTTTAACTCCTGTGATCACAGCTTTTGTTCAGCTCATTAGTCTGTGAGTATTTGAACTGCACACTTCTTGTCTTTAGACATTCCCAATGCTTCAGCTTCCATGTACTGCTCGGTAAACTCTGTTACCTTCAGTGTCTGGGGCTCAGATAATAAGGATAACGATAAATCAGGGTTTCCTTAACAAACATGCACAAAATTGAGTTACTTTAAAGAAATAGAAAAGCAGGAAGCAACGTGGACCCTTTTGATGTTTTAATTTTTCTCTGCTCCCCTCTGTATGGTCATTGAAGAGAACTTCCTATCATGTGAGAGCAGCTTTAGAATTGTACCAATAAGGAATGGTATCACACATTTATTTTGGAGTCAACATTAAAAATGTTTGCTGTCTCGTATCACCTGTGGATGTGACCGGGGGCATTAAATCAGGGATCATTCATACCGATATTTCCCAGTGAACTTGTGATCAGAATGTATTTTAATAGTGTGAGCATGGCCTAAACATCAAACAGCTGTTCTCACACATGACTATACATTGATTTCCTTAAGCTGCACATACTCTAATATTTGAGAGAAGGTTAATGTTTGGGGGGGAATTATTCCCTTAAGGGATTTAACTTCCATCGTGATGAAGCATTTATTTGGCGTTAAAACAGAGATTGACCCGAAGCACATGAGCTCATTGGAGACACACTCAGCAGCAGACATGCTGTTGCTATGACAACAAACATGAGTATGTATGGGCTGTAATAATACCCTGACACTGGCTCCAACACAGCACGAGGAAACCTGGTGGTTGGTCTGCTGCTACCAGGGCATGGCTCCTGCAGGGCTGGAGGTCACGCTGCTATTTATAGTATTTATTGTTAGGTAGGTAACTCCACACAAAAGGCTGATAAAAATGCTGCCGGCTCGTTGCACTGTGTGCTTTGTATCGGCATTGAGAGATCATACATTTACTAATTGTTTGTGGGCCCCAAATGCAGACATATCCTCAGAAAACCCCCCGACAGATGTGTCTCTCAGTCTGAGGGGTGAGGAGAGGACAGACATATTTGGAGGTTGAAGTTGTGTTCATCAGCAAAGCATCAACTGCTTCAGAATTCAAGGTTCCAATCAGTAACTGTTTTTTGTCATTTGACATGTTCTGATTTGACGATTCCGGGAAACATTTGGTCCTGCAGTGCCATTACTATTCAACATGTTTACAATATTGCGGAAAAAGACACTGAAGATTCAGTGAAATAGAAATGATCTCATGCAGGAGGAAGCCTGCTTCAACGAGGTTATGTTTTTTGGATTTGGTTTGTTTGTCAGTGGGATTAAGAAAATAAATACAGGCGCACATTTCTGAAACTTGGTGAAACTTTGTGGCATTGTTCACATAAAAACCCATTACATTTCAGAGCGGATCTAAATCATTTGGCGTATGCACAAATGTTTTATTCCTCTTGTTAACTTAATGCTTAAAGATTATTTACACTTGGCAGGGGTCTGCACTCTCAGAGATTCCTTCTAGTTATTCACTGCTTTCTTTTTTCAGGGACAGAAGATCTGATGTCGCTCTCATTGAATGCCGTTTCCCCATTTTGAGCAAAAACAACGAATGGAGACTAGACAACATCTCTACAGTCATTAGTGGCTCTGTGAGACTGCACTCAGTTCAGTACTTTGAACTGAATGCAAACATTAGCATGCTAACATGCTTAGAGTGACAATGCTAGAAGGCTAATGTTTACAATGTTCATCACCTTCGTATAGCATGTTAGGATGCTGAGACTGATGGGGATGTCATGAGTTTTACAGGTATTTGGTCCTAAGCCAAAATATTGAAGTCTCATTTCTACCAGATGGAGATTTTGGAGGAAAGAACCATGAATCTCTGAACAACATAACAATCATACAAATATGACCATTCCTTGCACCAACATGGCTAAAAACCTCTTGAATTGAAAAAAATGCTAAATGCATTCACCAGTCTCCCATCAGCCACCACTGTAGCTTAGGTTTGGAGGGAGCAAATCATAACACTTCTTAATCAGGAAACAGTTGACTTGATAATAAAATGTCTGACTGAATAATGAAGTTAGATGGACATTCAGGCTCATAATCAGGCAGGAGGTCTGCCTCATAGAGATTGTAATGTCCTCTGTCAATAATGCCTCAACATCATCTTATCTTTGCACATCCAACTCTAAGCATAATAAAAACAGCAAAGAAAAATAAATCTAATCTTGTCCCAAAGATATACACTATTTAGTCTGCACCAAAGTGGATGCAGTGAATAGTGGGGATATGGGACCTTTTTGTGCACATGTCAGATCAGATGAGACAATAAAACCCCTGCATAGCTAATCAGGAGCTCAGCATGGACTGTGGATTTATTGTATGTGCAAATTCCTGCAAGAGGCAATTTAGTTGCAACAGGAACCAAGATATATATGATGCTACACCATAAGGGATGTCTCTCTCTCTGTGTGTGTGTGTGTGTGTGTGTGTGTGTGTGTGTGAGCCATTTTACTTCAAGTATGTGCAAGTGTGTTTGTTCATAACTCATTAAGATGCTGTTCCTCCACACATGATGTTCAGCAGAGTTAGTATATCATATGGACAGTTTGTTACAGCTAGCAGCCTCTGTATGAAGTCACATGACCCACTGCTTCCACCACCTCGCTTTCACGGACACACCAGAGAAACTCTTATCACACAAAATAAAAACACATTGACATCTTCAAGTTCCCTTACAGCAGACAGTCATTTTTTAAGTGTGGTTGCTATGTACAATAGAAGGATCTTCATATATTATAATATTCTTCATCTTTCCGTATTTTTCTTCCGTGCTGTCAAGTCATTATTTCCATATACGTTTGTCCTTTTTGTATTTATAGAGTTTCCAATACTTACATTATAAATAATTACAGTCTTGTGATAAAATAAATAACTTAAATACAATGGCCGTGGCTTCTCATGGATGAAGGACGAATGAAGACTCACTCTGCTGCTCACTGTGATGCTGCTGACAGGAAGGAGAAACAATCTCTGTGTGTTAGATGCAGGCAGAGGGCTGAAGCACAGGGAATAAACGTAAAAATTCCAAAGTAGCACAAGGTGGGAAACTCTCCCTGAAGCAATATATCAAATGTCTGACAACAATTGTTTAGTGCTGCTAAAAAACATAAAATGATGGTCAGAACACCGACAAGTGAGACTTTTCTAACTATTAACGAGTGAAACTGACTGATCAAAAGAACTCTAGTTTTCCTTTGAGTTTTATACATCCGCTAAAGAATGGCTCCACTGTTTAATCTGGATATATTCATTATGTTTAGATACTCCTTCTGTTCAGCAGCAAGAGCATTAACAAGGTGATACAGTCCTAAAGTCTGTCACAGCCAGTGATCTAGTTTATTCCAACGGTGTTGGATAGGGTATAGGTCAGGGTCCTGTGTAGGTCAATCAAGTTATTTTCACCCCAAACTGGGAACGAGAGAGAGCTAGAGAGCTAGCTTTGTTATGCAAACAGGAAACTCCACTCTAGCAGGTTGGAAGTACACTGTACAGTATAATTGTTTGCCGTAGTGTTTTGACCTCTCTTTACTGGAACTAAGAGGCCACAACCAAATAATAAAAACCCAGATCAAAGGCGTTTCCACATTACCAGAACCGAGTCTTACTAAGGCTAACTAGATGCTATCTCGCAGCTTTTCTATATTTAAGCACTTGAATTAATGCTCGTTAAATAATTCAGGAAGTGTTTTCCATCAAACCGTCCGCAGTGAGAGTGAAATCAGTAAGGAACAGGATCTGTGGCATGTACAAAGGCTTATGGTATAATACTGTGGTGGTGGGAATGGTAGGGAATGGCCGCTTGTTATTGGCCCCTAATTTGATTACAGTGGAGAGGGTGGATGGAGGTAGGGATGAGTGCAAAGCTTCTCCTCCAGCTATACCACCGTGCCACTCGGAGAGTTCCCGTTCTGTGCTGTCAAATTCTGATCAGAGAGACAAAACACAGAGGACAGTTAGGCACTAGAGACAATCAAAAGTAAATCTTTAGAGTTAAATAATAAAAAAACTGGAGGCTGGAGATATTGAAAGGAATTAATCCGACTATGAGTTAAAAGAAGAAATGTATATATATATATATATACATACAAATATACAACACTATAATACCATTAGGGCAAGTGTCCACATAGCACCATCATCTGAGCACCAGTGTCTTTTTTCAAATAATCCCAATGAGAAACGACTGCATGCCGTCGAAATGTGACGTCACAATTGGATAAAATAAACTTGTTTTTGAACGTGTCTGTCAGACGAAAACTACCATAACAAAGACCTCAAAGTCTGTGTATGTTGTTACAACAGCGATACGTTATTGATATATCGTTGTCATAGAAACAATAAAAAAGCTAGAGAAAGGCGCTATGTGGAGACGGGCTCTTCGTTTTCTAAGGAAATAGTTAATTGAAGACTTACCGCCTTCCCCGGCCGCGCCCAGGTGCAGATGAGCCCCTCCTGGCAGGCGGTGATGATGCAGTCGTCCATGAACACCAGGACGGTCAGCCTCTCATGTGCAATCTTCTTGCACACCAGTGGCTCCAGCAGCGGCACCTCATGCATGCGTGGGCACAGCGTTGTGCCGAGGACCTTGGCAGCATCCAGCCGGCTGCTCCTGGGCGCCACGTTGATTTTATCGTTGCTTTTGCTGATGTTGCCCAAGCTGTGGTACCTCTTGTGCTCCTTCTCCACCCCACTGCTGCAACCAGACTTGTCTGACTTGCGCTCCTGGAGTGAAAGTGTGGCGAAACGGCCAATGCTAAATGGGGTGGTGTTTCCTCCTCCACTGCTCCCTCCACCTCCACCGGTTACCCCGCCGCCCTCCGAGACGCCCGGGCCCTTGGCGACATTTGCCACGGCGGGGTGGGGCAAAGAGTTGGAGCGGGAAAGGGAGCGAGGAAGAGGTAAGGGGAGCGTTGGAGGGTTTGTGGTGCCAGTGTTAGTGTTGGGCGGATGATGGTGCCCTTCAACTGTTCCACCCCCTCCCCCACCTGAGGTACTGTTGACCACCCCACTGCCAGAGTTGGAAAGTGAAGGCCCAAAAGTGTTAGTAAAGGCGCGGGACAGTGGCAGGCGTGGGTACAACACGTCATCTGTCAAGTCCCACAGACAGAACTGGGTGTCCTGCCCCACCGAGCCAAACCGGTATGTGACGGACGCCGAACCGCCTCCTTTAGAGCTGTGCCGAGACAGACGCGACAACGTGCTACTTGTTCGTACACGGCCAAAGTGCATGGAGTTGCTCGGTGGCCCTTGGTGGAGGTCCTCCTCGCTGCCACTGAGCTCCATAGGCTCCTCATCTTCCAAGGAAGTTGTGAAGGGATCAAACGCCACCACATTGACCCAGGACTTGTGGCCGTGACCTCTTGCAACCACACGGCTTTCTGCAAATGACCAAACGGTAACCAGGTCATCCTCTCCGCCCGTGGCAAGGTATTTTCCATCGGGGCTCCATGACACGCACAGCAGCCCTCCAAAGTAGCTCTTCATCACCCCCTGCAGCTCCATTGAGTCAAAGTGAAAGACACGCAGGCAGCCGTCCTGGCCCACGCACGCCACATGCACTCCATCTGGGGAGAAAGCGAACTCGTTGAGGCCTCCGTCACCCACAGCCCATCGTAACAACGGGTTGCGAGGCGTCTTTGTTTTGCAGGCGTAGACGGCGAAGCCTTCTCCCTGTCGCAGGAGAGAGTATTGTGGGGCTGTGGTGCCACACGGGTGGTCCACGTTGTAGAGGTAGAGGTGGCCACTGGCATGGGAGGCCAGGAACAGGTTCTCCGACTTGGGAAGCCATTTTAGACACGTCACCTTGGATTTGTCTATCAACCTCTGTGAATGGAAGGAGGTGGACCGAGTAGTGATTTTTAGAAAAATGTAAAAGAAAAAGAAAAATGGAAGAGGAGATGAAAGAGGGGAGGAATAGGAAGAGAAGAGTAAAACATATGTTAAAATGACTAAGATTTAATTGAGCTTTTATATGGACAGTGACACTCATCTAAGAAAACTAAGTATGAACTATTGTGAGAAGAAAACGTAGAAAGGAAGCATGGGAAGAACTAAAAGGTCTGTAGAGATCAAGAAACAAGCTACAGTAGACATAGACCGAAACCAACAGAGAAAAAACCAAGGGGCGGAAGATGAGGAAAGAATTAAAAGGCGAATCCCCCTGAGGTGATCAGAATCAGGAGGCGCCCAAACATAAAGTCTACCTGCATGCAGTTACAGTATGTTCTTGTACAACCCCAATCTCCTACATTTTATCATTTTATTGGGGGACTCGAAGAAGACCACCGATCAGAAGAAAGCAGTTCAGGAGTCACAGAAAAGTAAATAGCTGAAGACATCTAGGCTAAGCCAAACCATCCAAAGAAATTGATACGAAAATGTCAAATTACTTCTGACTTCTTCAATCCCAACCACAGAGAACCCATGTTACTGAACAACACAGAGGAGAGCAGACACACACAATACCTCCTCATTGAAGAGTTTACTGGTTTCCTTCTTGATGGGGTCGAGATACTGGACCTGTCCAGCTGAGAAACCCACTATGAGAGCTACACTCTCCGCTGTGGCAGAGTACTGGTTGAAGTCATGACATGTTGGCTGGGTCCCCTTGTAGATCCTCTTGTCTATCGGCTTACTGAGGTCTACAGCCTGCGGATAAGGAAAGACAACTGTGATGCAAGCAAAACATCAGCTGAGAAGAGGGAACCTGAGTTTCAGGGACATTCAGAGGACTGTATAGGAGGTTCTTATACGTAGGATTAGGGCTGCTCGATCATGGCAAAAATCATAATCTCGATTATTTGGGTCAATAATTGTAATTGCGATTATTAAATGTGAACAGTGTGTTTTTAACAGTTGATTACCCTGGACTTTAAGTGTAACTAAACTGAAAAACCAATACAATTTATTTTTTAATAATAATGATAATACAAAAATAATCGTTATATTTCGATTACGTTGTTTTCGTAATCGTTGAAAGCAAAATCGTAATTGCGATTAAAATACGATTAATTGAGCAGCCCTATTCACTTGAAAGCAATAATCCAGTTACAAAAAAGGTATAAACATATGCTACAAGTGTATGTAACATTTCTGGGCTCATTTATTATTTGGTAATTGGTATTTGACAGATGGTCGCCAAGCGTAGATGCAGAAAAGTCACATTGGGACTCCCAGCAGCTTCTACTGAAGCCTTCCGAGTAAATCATGTTTCCATAAGTTAGTCTCTCTCCTTTGGTGCGCTGGGCTAATGTTAATGCTAATAATGCTAATGCCAGCAAATACAATGGCGGCTTCACAAAACTTTTCCAAGTCTTAGGACTCCAAGAGTCCTGTAATGTCTCCTGACATATCCTCAAGATATATGCATCCTAATACCGACGAGCCTAGTACCGTTTTTAGTATAGGAGCTAATAAACCCAGCTTATTATACATTAACCGGCTAATAATTTCACACTTGTCACACAAAAATTGTCACTAATGGGCCTGTAATTCACATTGATTTCGACTTTTGTGGCTTATCGTTAAATAAAAATAGTAATTATTACGTGTTATGTTTTTATTAGCATATTAAAAGCTATGCACAAAAGCATTAGCCACTTTCGTTTTTAGCATTACCGCTAATTTTATGCTAATTAACTCCGTCGGGATAAGTGACTTTCCGTTATGAGGTCAACATGTTTTTACCATATTGTATACGATGTTCACATACATGTGAAAGACTCCGAGTAAATAATAACCATTACCACTAACTGTCCTACAGGCGGTTCGCATCTAACGTCTTTTTCCAGTGTAACCGCCTGAGGGTTCGTCAAGATGACTTCGGAAGCTCATCTTATACACAGGTATTCCAATAGAGACTGAGACAAATCCACGCGACCCGATTCCATTACGATTATTACTGATTACGGCGTTTATGCTTCCGCGAAGTGTTTTGACGAAGGTTCAAAATCCCCGGACCACGTAGGCGGTCNCAAAAGATCGGAATCGGGAGAAAAAAATCGGGGATCGGGATTTTTTTTTTTTTTTTAAATAGTTTTTTAAAAAATTTTATTCAATGTCACAAAACAAAAATGACCATGTTCAAGTCTTAAAGTCATCCTGAGGCCTTAGTTTTGGTTTTAAATTACACAACATCATGTCTGTGTTGCTTCTTTGGGGCTTGTTTTCATAGACCTGGTTGCTTATTTCTCTCAAATCTGGCAACAGAGTGGGCAAAACTACTCATATTTCTAATAAATATAAATACACAAAAACTATACAATACATGAACTGTGTCTTATTCCTATGTGGGAGAGGTAGTGTGGCTTATGTTAATGATTTATATTACAAAGTGTTGCGACACAGAGTAACGGTGTCTCATACAGGGACATCCTGAGTTTTATATTAACCCTCCTGTTTTCTTCGGGTCAAATCTGACCGATTTACTACTTTCATCAATCATAACTTTTTTGTTTTAGATTCGATTGCATTAAGGCTTCATGATATCCTTCACAGTAGACATTTGAACATATACAATGGCGGCTTCACAAAACTTTTCCAAGTTTTAGGGGGCCTGGTTTGCAATCCGCCCAGCCAATCAGAAATGGGAACCTTTTTCCCACATGAAAAAGGTTCATGTTTTCAGTCAAAGAGGGTGAAAGGGTTCACATGAACTAAGTTCCGGATTTTTTTGGTGTGAACGCAACATTTCAAGAACTTTCGGAACTATACTGCGAAAAGTACTCCAGTGTGAAAGCACTTATTAATACTAACTTTTAGGGGAAGCCTATTTTTTTGGGTCGGGGGGCTCGGTCAATAACGTAACCAGATGAGTGATTACAGCGCCCGGTATGATTTTACACACATTTGTATCACACAGATGCAGGACTTGCACACGCCTGTTATCTAACCGACAGGTCCGCACGCACTCTCCAGCTGAAACTCTCTCGTCTTATTAATTTATGCAGACAATCACACAATCTATGTGATTTTTTGATTTACCGTGCCTCTCAATTGCCTGTGACAGGTTGGCAAGGTCGATGAATCCTGAAGTTGCCCAAGGATTGTTCAGGGAGCACGAATCCTTGACAAAGGCAACTTCAGGATTCATCGACCTTGCCAACCTGTCACAGGCAATTGAGAGGCACGGTAAATCAANGTTTTTATAGAAATGGATCAGGACACAAAGAGAGAGAATCTTTGTTCCTGAAACTTTCAGAATCTCTTTCCACAGTGTTGATGTAGAAAATACGTGAAAAAGGGGATTTTGCATAATCGGGGACCTTTTTAAAAGGGAAAACATATTGCTGGGTTTTCTTTGTAATTGAAATAAAATATGATCTTGAAGCAAGGTGTTCAGCCTGCTCAGTGATGTTAAATTGTCCAGCATAGAATATAAAAATAGCTATTTGACTTAACGCCTTTTATCTAAAGAGCTACTCTTGGTTACGGGCCATACAGTGAGTCACTACATTGCTTTGTATAGAGCTACAGGCCCATGTTTTTCCTGAATCTAACAGCAGTGGTGTCATGATTCACACACAGGATTCCTTCCTCACACAGTGGATGTGACTCACTGAACTTGACCCTCTGTTCCTGGTAGAAACACTATTAACCCTCCTATTGTCTTCGTTTCCCCCCCTTACTTTGGTGTTCGCGGTCAAATTTGACCGGTCCTGTTTTAGCTGCTATTACATTAACACAAAAACCATTAATCGTCACCAAATTTCATTTAACCTGTTAAGCCCCATTCCCCCTCGGGCAGGGGAAAAATCGCAACATCTGCATGAAACAGCGTCTGAGGGCTTCTTAACATTTAAAAACCTATTAATGCGTCATAACCACTTAACGGTAAGAAACTCAGCTATCAGACAATATTAACAATTTTCGGATGGTTAATAATTCCTTTTCTTTATGGTGGTCATTTTTGACCAGGAACACCATGGGTGTTACAAAGTTGACTAAATCATCCAAAATTCAATGAAAGTGGTGATCAGCCATTGTATATGTTCAAATGTCTACTGTGAAGGATATCATGAAGCCTTAATGCAATCGAATCTAAAACAAAAA